AGAGTAGATGTTGAGTAAACTATATACGCTCAAGAACAACTCAAACTTCACAAATTGGCTCTAGAAAGCTATGAAAAATGATGTTGTTTTAATGCAATGATGATATGAATATTGTGAAGTGAATTGATGAGAAAAGCAGACCCAAACACCCCTTTTTATAGTGCCAAAATAGGCTCCAACGGACCAATGCATTAAAGGGGTGATTGGCTTGATTTAAGGGATTGAATAAATTTGGGATCTGCAGGATATTGGCTTCCCATCGATGTTTGGAACTTACCCATCGCTGGTAAGCCAATTTTCCTTCAGTTTTTGAAGCCAACAGTTATCTACCCATCGATGGGTACAAGCTTCCCATCGCTGGGTGGGAGGTTGACTTCCAAACAAGGAAAGAATCAACCTTAATTGACTTCCAACGGTCATGCCTTCCCATCGATGGGTGGGTGGTTAGCCAAAAACCTATGGTTTTTGCCTTAACCACGGCCTAGCCAACCGATGCAAAAACCGACCGAAAAATCCAAAGTTCTCCAAAATAAAAACCAAGTGTTTAAAACACTTATTTGATGTATTTGGCTAAGAAATCAAGTGAGACACTTTAAAAATCACGTCATTTGAGTAAAAACCACGGCTAGCCAAGTTTACGTCGTTTTGCGTGGTTTTTGTCAAACGACTAAAAGCGAGAGATGGTTTTCAAAGTGTTTTTGTTGGAGAACCGTTTAAACATGCCAAAGAGTGAAAGCAGATCATAAAATTCTGAAAACCACTTGGTTGGTTCGGATGCCAAAAACCAAACCCGACAACCGAAAGCCGAACGCTGGTTTCTGAAAGCCAAACACTGGATGGCTTGGTTTTTGGTTTGGGCGAAGACCATGTGTTTTTAATGAATTAAACAAGTTTGAAAAACATTTTTATGATGTAAGAAATGCAATGATAGATTTTAGCCTAAAGAGCCAAGGTGTAAAGATTGGGTCGGTCTTGATCACAATAAAGACCGACTCAATACTATGATTAAGGTCATCGTTCTTGGTCTTCGTTTAGCTCTTGCTCTTATCTTTGTTCTTCGCCTTGTATATTCAATGTTTGACTTGATCACGGCGGTTTGGCATTATCAAAACCTGTTACAAAAACGAACACGGCTTTAGTACGAAAACGTGACAAGCCCGTGTTTCAACAATTTCCCCCTTTTTGATAATGGCAAACGAGACGAGGTTATGCATAGGAGGATTATTTTCAAAAATTGAAACTATTTATATAATACCTTAGAATTGAGAATCTATAATTAGTGATCATTTATAAAATTTACCTTCTTAATTTTTAGAGTAAATTTTCAAAATAATCTTTTCTCAAATTAGTCTTCAATAAATTTTAATTACTTATGTAGTATGTTAAATTTAGATTTATTCCTTAAGTAATCCTTTGTATAAAATGTCACTTAAATGGAGGATATATTGTCATTTTTCATCTTCTAGACTTAGAGTAAGTTCTCAAAATTTATCATTTCTAATGAAGTGTTTTTCCAAAATGATTTTTTCTAATCGAGGTGTATTTGGTTCAAATTTTAAAATATTTTGGTAGATTTTTAATAATTCACAAATTATGTATAGTCAATAGTTGTTTTAATTTTACATGAAATTGTATAGAAATGATCATTTTGGGAATTTACTTAAGTTTAGATGATACAAAAATTGATATA